AAATGATACACTTTATAATTTTTAAGGGATGAATCTTTCCTTCTCTTATTTGCATTTGATAAGTGGAACGCAAAATAGGAATGATTATTTTTTTGTGTGTTCCGTATAGATGACAAAGTGAAAGGGAGGAAAAAAAAAATAAATGCATGTAATTGATAAATAAGTTATAGAAATATATTAAGGGGTATAAAGTTAAAGGGTTAATTGTATCAGAGGTCCTTAAAGTATGTGGTTTGTCTTATTTTAGTCTCTAATATTTTAATTACATTATTTTGGTCCATGAAATATTAAATATGTTTCTATGTGGTTCATGAAATATTAAATATGTTTCTATGTGGTCCATTAAACAGATAGTGTCTAAATTGTTAATAATTTTTAATCATAAATTTGTCACGTAATATCTAAATGTGCAAAAATAGATAATTTGAGTAGCTTTTGACTAACTTAGTGACGAGCTATCCACCTTTTTCTTTGGAATTTACATAGATAAAATATCATATGTATTTTTCTAACTTTCCATTTCCTCACGTTTTTATCATTTTATTTTTTCACTATATCAAACAAAGCATTAAAGAATCTCAATAATAATTTTTAGACTCGAACTTTTCATATATTGAATACTTTAAATTTATTTAATTACGAAACATGCAATATATATTTAGGTGAATCCTCTAGCAATTCACAATTAAATTATCTTGAAGAAAAAGAAAAATATTGAAAAGATCCCAATCCTTAATTTCCACATTATATTGTTTTCAAATAAAACTATAGCTTTTATGATAGGGCACATTGTATTAATACACAACTATATTGATCCAACATTGAAAATTTTTAGAAAAAATATATTGGAAGGGATGTAAATTCGAATGCATGGTGAATTTTTTTTATGTTCAGTTTGCCTTTTATAGCTTGAGATTAGTATTTGATGAGCCCATATTCGACTCGTCTAGGCCTAATTTATGGGTAAACCCAAATCAACTAAAAGACAAGTCAATTACAGCTCATGACCTTAGCTCAATCCAGAGTTTAAGAGATCCAGAAGATCAGTGCACGTGGGGAGTAAGCATCAAAATAATTACTCGAAGATCGAGACTATCTTTAATTATACCTATCTTTAGTTATAGCTATCTTCTCCGAAGAACTAATCACCCATCCTTTCATGTCACCGCCTCAACCAAGACTATGTGTCTATAAATTATAAGTCCTTCCTATAAGAGGGCATCCCTCTACACCCCTACACACCTTGTACACAACCCTCTCTCTCTTAGTTGCCTAGAGTTCACCCTTGCTCTCTTTTCCATCATCTACTTTATTAATAAAATTTTTCGGTCATCATCGCAGTCTTTATAGTGGAGTAGGTTACCGGACCAAACCATTATATATATGTGTGTTGACCCCATCTCTATCTTTTATCGTTGATTGTTTCATTAATCACTAATGCTATAGAGACATAATTTGAGGACATAATGAGTTGTCACCAATGAAATAATAGTGAAATGAATTTAATGATGGGTCTCATTGTAGTATTAAATGAATTCATTATCATATGATTTGTGACAATTCATTATATTCCCAAATTATGTCCATAAATTATGTCCCAATAGCATTGCTCTTCATTAATTACTCTACATTATCTATTCGACTGTTGATCGTACATAAATCTAATTTTGTGCAAAGTTATGTGATTTAAGGATCATTTCAGTAGAAAGATCGAAGAGAAGGATAGTGGAAAACAATTCTGTCTCTACTAAAACCAATCACCCAAATAAATCTTTGGCAGGGACTAGTCTCCAGTCCTACCAATCATTATGAAAACCTTAAGCTGGAACTACCGGGAATCGGGCATCCTCGAACAGTTCAGTTTCTTCACAATTATGTGAAGTACCGAAGGACCAACTTTGTTTTCCTTATGGAGACAAAGTGCCAATCGGATGTAATGGATAGAGTGAAAGCAAGACTGCGTATGAATGGAGTTGCAGTCGATTCAATTAGGAAGGCCAGAGGCTTAGCCTTATTGTGGCAGAAAAATATAGACATGTCATTGCAAAGTTTCTCGCTGCACATCGATGTTATGGTTCATTAGGGGGAAGGATGGTCATGGAGGTTTATCAGGTTTTATGTGGAATCAGAGGTAAGGTGGCGCCGCAGTTCGTGGGCATTACTGAGCCAACTGGGCAACGTCTCAGACTTGTCATTGGTTTACACAGGCTACTTCAACGAGCTAATTTCACAAGAGGAAAAGAAAGGGATGAACAGTAGTGCGAATTGGCAAATGAGGGCATTTAGAGATGCTTTGGATAGTTGTGCTCTCCAAGATTTAGGCTTTGAGGGGTATCCATACACCTCGTGCAACAACAGGTTTAAACCATACATGATTTGGGAGAGGTTGGACAGGGCTTGCGCAAATTTGGCCTGGTTGAAAAGATTTCCCCAAACATTCGTAAAGCACTGATTTACTCGAGCTTCAGATCATTATAAATTGATATTGGATACATAGTTTAGTGCGAGTCCCCGAGCATCCATGATAAACATTTTAATATTAAGAATGTGGGAGGGCAATAGTGTGCGTATCTCGATAAAATATTTAGGTTTTGATATGAATGTGTAAGATTGATAATTACTATTTAATTAAAAACATTGATACAAGACCTAAACCGGTACGATGTGTATTTTTAATATTTAGAGAGTATATATGAATAAGGTATGAGAATTGTTCAGATTAAATGACAACGAGGGAATTATTTTATTTAAGTGTGTAAAGTTAAATGAGTATACTTGCATGTTGTCTAATTTTATTATTTTATGTGTATTAGTGCATATGAGATTAAGTGGGGGACAAGCATGTGATATCAATTTATTGACAACATATATATGTGTTAGTGTAAACAAGAATTGAATTAAAGGCTAGTAATAAAGATTATTGGATTATAATTAAGTTGGATACATATATATATATATATATATATATATATATATAGGTGGAGACATGCATGAGTGCACTCTCCACTAAAGGGAGTGCGGGTGGGTACTCCACTATGACTTGTACAAATATAAAAAGGAAAGGAAAAAAAAATAAGAAGAAGAACTCTTTGTATCTTTGGGATTTTTGACTAAGGCAAGGAAAACAAAAAGAAGCTTTATTATAACTATTGTGTTTTCATTTATATGTTTTAAATATACTTACTGAGTTTATGAATTGCGATATATAACGAGTCGTGTGTACGTAATTGGTTGGGAAGTTTTGTAAACATGGTGTCTATATATGTAATTATCCAATTGTTGGTTTATGAGAATAGTTTTGATTAACTATGATTAATTGATGTTAATATGTGGTTAGGTAGTGAATGTATGGCCTACCGGTTAGTTCTACTTGCACCCTAACTTTTTTTGTGGGATGGAGTGTGACATTCCCAACATTGGAAGGGCCTCAATTGACCAGTCCGAACCTTGATGATATTTTACAAAAGACAACTAATTATAATAACAATTGTGCCGTGTCATTCCGTATCGTATATACTTGGAATATGTTGCTTCATGCATTGTTTAAATCACGTCATATTCAAGTTGACACATGTAACCAATGAATGCATAACGTCAAAAATGAATGTAGCCAATGAATGCATAACGTCAAAATAAGACCTCTCTTCTCTGTTAACCAAATCCGAAGGGTACTTCGTGGGAGTAATATCTGAAAAGGACGACAATCTGAGAGGTCATTTGTGTCAATCCGTTAACTCTAAGGCGTACTTTCTATAAATAAGTGGAAATGTCCCAATGTATCTAAGGTCAATGTAATTACACTTTGACCCCTTTAATTATGCCTTTGCCTCAAATTACTTCTCCAATTATTATGTTTTCTCCTATTACACATTCAACTATGGTCGTTGATTTCATATTCCGCCCAATTACAAACGTTCACTATTAATTGAATAAATTGTTACATTATTTTGTCTCCCAACAATGGTTGTTCTTTATGATTGGCATGCAGATTTGAAGAGAACATAAAGAGGTGGAAGGTTATGTATATATATACTTGGAAGTTAGAGAAATCTATATATATATATATTGTCCTTCTTATACGGTCCATGAGAACAAATTTAAACATTATTTTGGATGATATTGGTATGGAAAACGTTGCAGGAAGCTTCATGGAAGAAGGGTTTGACAAAGGCCATATGAATTTATGAATGCATTCATGGGATGTCAAGGACATTCGTATGGATTGTTTAATTATTAAAATGGGTAATTTGATTATCAATGAATATGAAATATGATAAATGTTGAAATTAAAATAAGCCAAATTTTTATAAATACAAATTAACTAAATCTGAAAATAGACCCAAAAAAACTACATATAACATAATATAATAGCACACACGAAGAGACATAGAGAGAGAAAGAGATCTGATGTTAGATTTTTCACTGAAGGATGAAGATCTGTGTGTCGAAGAACTGAGTCGAAGATCCGAGAATTGGAGTAGTTCGAGTCTTCGATTGAGCCTTTGATTGAGCTGTTGAGTTGTAACGCCCCAAAAACCCCCGTGGGTGACATTACATTCTAAAAACTATTTACCGTATGAGAGCATTAAGTAAAATTTATCACGACGAAAGTTTCATTCATCAACCATTCATATTTTAACAAAATTTGGGCAGAGTCTCCTTTGTACGGGGAGCTCTACCCAAACACAACCTGTACAATTATATTACAATTGACCACACCGGGTCCACATATGCATAACTATTGACCACACCGGGTCCATTTTTTCATCATAAAATAAACTTGCATTCATCATATGTCATATCCACACTATCATCCCAAATTAATAGGTCTAATCTTGGCCTTTACATCTCCAAAATGTAATAATATAACGCAGCGGAAATAACAGAAATGAACTAGAATTCAAAAGGATATTCTAAGCATAATCTAGTCTAGAATAAAATAAAAGTGTCGCTCTAAGCGTCCACCTCGGGATCCACATCCCCGTCAAGCGGAGTCTTCCAATGGGTGGGCTCCTCGGCTCCTAACTCCTCCTCAAGTGTGAAATCTGAAAAAAATTTATTTGTAGGGGGTGAGCACGAAGCTCTGTAGCAAAATCCTCTCAACTCAAACAAGGTTTGAAAAACATAGCAAACGGTCGGTCTCATTTCACAACTAACATATATATAGGTTTGGAATGAAAATAGTGACATTTTAAAAGAGATCTCAAGTTTAAACAATAGCAATAATCAGTTAAAAGAATAAAATGAGTTTAACATCGATAAACAAAATTCTAATTTAAGCTATTTAAGAAGGGCTTCTCCCTAAGCATTGTCCCATACCAATGCATCGGCAAGAACGACCCAACTCCCGATTCCATGTATTTTTGGTTCATCCCCGTACCATGTATGTTGATTGCTTCTCGTGAATCTACCTAACGATCATGCCTAGTCCACCAATTCCAACCAACAATCACAAATCTCTTTAGAAAGGGCGTGTACCGTCTCCTACGGCATTGACGAAATCCTCCCAAGGTGTCTAGTATACTAACCCTTTTCCTCGGTGTATATGTGAACAATAGTGATCGCGAGCACAACAACGATCCACTACGAGCATTAGGCAACCATCTCACCCCCCATTGGAATAGACTAACCTCTAACACTCTACGACATCTCTCGAAGGTAATCCAAGTCCATCACAACAACCATACAATGAGGAAATCAAGAATATTCACAATTCACAACAATTTCCCAAATATAGTAAAATCCCCAATTTTGTTTTCACATTTGTTATATAATCGAATAATCCAAGAAAATATGCAAGAGATCGTAATCTATATCATTTTGTTATACAATATTCAACACTAAAGTTTTAAAATCAAAGACAAAGAAGAAATTAGGAGAAAACCCCATTTTCTTGAAAACTAAGGCTTTGAAGATAAAAAAAAAAAATCAATAGAGCTTTGGTGGTTACCCACCCTTCATATTGTTCAAAACATGACATTTATTACAAATAGAACAAGAATCATGTATTTCATATTATATATGAGAAGGAGAGTGAAGAAATATATATCTATATACATATATATATCTATATATATATATCTAGCATAAATGTGAGAGATTGAGAGAAAATCCCCTACCTTAAATCAAGATTCCAAGCTAAGACCCAAGCTTCAAGACCTTCTTGCTCTCCTTTATTTTCCTCTTAATCTTCTCCTCCTAGGGTTTCAAAAGATTTGGGTGAGAGGGTAGCAAGAATGGAAGAAAATGGGAGGAGAATGTATTCTTGAAGAATTTGAAGTTTTGATTTCTACAAGGTATAAATCCCTCTTGATTGGTATTTCTATCTTCCTCTCTTCCTCTAAAATGGTTCCTAGGGTTTGGAGGGGTGAAATGAATGCTAAAGGGACGACATTAGGTTTTTATAGGGCAAGAAAATCGAGCAAAACCCGATATTTTCTGTTCAGAAAAAATCGGGTTTCCTTCGTACTGTTCACAGATTTTTGGTGCGACTTCCAGGTCAGTTTTGACCCATTTAGAGGTCGAATTGGAAATTTTTCATGAAATACACTTTTGTAGCTCTAGATGTCTACTATTTCCTGTCAAGATTTCAGATCAATTGGACATCAAAATATAAAATTATGATCAAAATACTAAGCAGTGTCTATCACCCCTTTTTACCCAATTTCACTCCAATTTGGTTTTACTTCTAAAATACTTCCTAACTTCTAATACATCCCATATTACCTCTCCCAATGTTTTCCGACCTCCCGAAATCAATGGTAATGTTATTTTGATAAAAAAAAATTAATATATTTATTTAGTTACCTTTATCAATCTTAAACACATCCAAAAAAAAATTAAGTTTGATCCAAAAGTCAATCCGTTCGAAACTCAAACTTCATGATTAATATTTCAACAATGATTCTAAGTTTTTATCCTCATTTTATTCATATTTGAAAAACTCTTAAGATATTAGTATTCTTATTTAATTTTAGTACAGGGTCTTACATGAGTGCAGTGATCAGCAAGCAAGTGATCATATGTATATATATATATGATTTGACTTGTAAGGCTTTGAGGAGCAATCGGCGTTGAGGAACAGAGGAGAGTTGGTGTTGAGACGATGGAGGGAGGAACAGAGGAGCAGTCGACACCTGGAGACGATGGAAACTGTGAGTATTTTTAATTGAGAGTATGGAGATAATACGGGGCGGGGGTAAAAGTAAGTTCATCCCCACCTTCATTCCTGCACGGGGTTTATACGAATATCCTCGTATACGTTAACCGTTAAATACGTATAGTCCATCTCCAGTTCAAACGAGGTGAGTTTGGGTGAATACCCGTTTTTTCCTAATTCACTGTCATCGTTGACAACACGTGATCATTCTATCAAAAAATTAACGATGCATCTATGTAAGGACCAAAATAACACGAATTGAATATATACTTTAAGGATCAAATTGATATAATAAGAACTAAATTGATAAAAAATACATACTTTAGGGACCAAAAATACTATTAACCCTATAAATAATTACAAAAAACAATCATATTTAAGTGTATAAGACTCCTCACAACATAAAAGTCTTGATGAACATCACAATCCTAAATCCTAATACTAAAATAATAAGAGAATAGCTTCTTTACAGGAAGCTTGTAAATAAATTATTTATAGACAACTAATTAAAATTGAAGAGCTACACAAATTCATTTTATATATTTGTATAACTACTCAATTTTGATTAACTGCCTATAATTGTTTACCTGCTAGGTTGTAAAAAATTTAATCCCAGATAGTAATTGTTTGTACAAAAGAGAAATCTTAAGGATTGGTAATCTGCATCATGTTCTTGAACTCTTCAAAATCCAACACCCCATCAGAGTTTGCATCATAAAAGTTGATCATACTCTTACAATCCTTCCCACAATGCTCGTCCCACAATTCTAATCTCGCCAACACGCTCTGAAGCTCATCGCAAGAAATGAACCCATCTCCATCCAAATCATAAACCCTGAAAGCCTCAACAAGATCACTGTCCAAGTTGTTGATATCCTCCTCCTTGCCTGTTTCCATGTTCTTCTCCATGATAGTTTCATAGAAGAACATGAAATCAATAATGTCAAGGCTTTTTTTGCCCACCAATGACTCGAGCTCGTCTAGGCTGCTGGGGTGGACACCAATTTTCTCAAGAAGACATTTAAGCTCATCTAAGCTCACAAGGCCATCACCATTTCTGTCAAACTTCTCGAAAATCCGGTGCAAGTCATCGGAGTTAATGGAAGACATGGTTGTGGTGCCAAGCTTTTAAATATGGCAAAGTTGAAGTAATCTACTATGCTAATGGTAGGTGTATATGTGTATGCTTGCAGTTTTGGGTAGAAGGTTATATATATACAAGGATGTTGCAGAAAAATCTATATCGTTTGTCCATGCTTGTACGGTCCATAAGGACAAAATTGTGGTGGAGATTTGTATGGAAAAGTTGAAGGAAGGTTCTTGGAAGGGGGTTTGATATTGGAAGATAGACTTGTTTATAGAAATTTCTTGAAAGTTCTCTTCTATTCGTCTTCCGTCTAAAAGTGGGGTTAAGAAAAATATCTTTTTTAGATTAGTAAATTAGATCAATAAATTAATTTTAAATAATATTATTAAAATCTGTTGCATATTATAATTTCAAAATTTATAGTACTTTCCTTTGTTTTATGAGGACCACAACTTCAAAAAAGAAAAATTGGTGGGGTAATTAAGTAAATTTAATTCTTCAAAGAAAAAAATGTACACAAACTCAAGACAATTAGCATTAAACCTGTGCTTCATTTTTTTAGGTTTTTGGCATTTGATTTTTTTTTTTTTGGGGGGGGGGGGGGGGGGTTGGAGGAATCGAACTTTTCACCTCAAGAAAGTAAAACTTTCAAAAGGATTAAACCAAAAACTCATTGATAAAAAAATATTTGGTTTTGTATTGAAAGTTATTATTACTATTATTGTTATTATTATTAACATAATGACCCCCTACCAATCGACCCCATTTAGACATGTGGTTGGTAGTCAACTCGTGCCCATAAACAAAGTCTCCTCTCCAAACGTAGTGATTAAATCTAAGGGTAAAAATGTAATTGTGATTTTTGACATTTAAGAATGTCAAGTTTATATGTAAAAACAATAGACCATAATATGGTAATTTACAATGAAATTTCTTAATATTTGCTTTAATTATCCAGTTACTCCTCAAAATTGAAAGATAAACAACGAAATCTCAAATTTGTAACAGCAAGATTTTCTTTGTCATAATGAAAATCTGACATTAACAACATTAATAATGCTTCATATGTTTATATTGCTCGAAAGAATTCGAATTTTGGTTTTGATTAAGAATAATGAGGATAAGTTCATAGGATTATGAGTTATTATTATTATTATCCTTATTTTTAGTATATAAAAGAAAACAAAAATATTTTGAAATAATTTAGTCAAGTCGTGAAATAAGTCTTAGGAAGTCGAAAACAAGCAAAGTCAACGTCGAGTCAAACTCACATAAACAGAGAGAGAGACACATTCATGAAAAGGAAGAAGCCATGCCGTGGAGAACTAACCAACTATGAATAGATCTTACTAACGTGTAAGAGTAGAACAAAAGTATATGGAAAATTACTTTTACGTCACAAAAAATTATTTTTTATTTTTGTTATCTCTCTACTTTTCTTTGGAAAGACTTTAATTCCCAACCTTTCTATGTAAGGTTATCTAACTAGAACAGTCTTAAGTTGAAATCACCCTTTAAGTAATGAAACATCAAATTCAACACCGTGTGTATGTCGCGTGGAAAATTTTGGACCGAACATCGCGGGATGAACATGAGAGAAGATATACATCCACGTGTCCTACATGTATAGCAACTAATTGAAGTCAACCTCCATGGATAGCAACCCACATGTGCTGGTCAATTCTTATTTTAGAATTGGGTAAATTGCACAAATGATCCTTGATGTTTTAATGGTAGTTGCACTTTAGTCCTAAAAATTTTAATTTTGTCAATTTAATCCTTAATATTCACACATTCAGCCAAAGTCGTCTTTTGCAGCAATTGTCATCCAAAAAAAATTATAGAAAATATCATGTGTCTAGCATATGAGAGTATTGGGGGGGGGGGGGGGGGGAGAGTGTGTGTTATGTGCTCAGTTTGCGAGTGTGTAAGAACATGAAGAAAAAAGAGAGGTTGAAGAAGAAGTGTGTTTGGGTTAATGGCTAATGTTGTTCTATTGAGGTGTAACTGTGTCTGGGTATAAGAAATGTAGGACAATGATGTTTTTTCCGTCAAAAAATTCAAACGACATTAGGGCTAAGACCCACATTGTTTCAATAGGTAAACATTGAGAATCAAATTAACATGATCAAAACTTTAAGGACTAAAGAGCAATAAATAGTAAACCTCAAAAACTATTGGTGCAATTTACCCCTCAGAATAAGGCTAGCAAACCAATTTGTTGGCAGGTTTTAGACTCTAAGAACCGACATTTCACCAAATTAACTCATAAAAACTTAACACAAGCCTTGCACTCACATGACAGAGCTACATGTTTATCTTGTCCTGGGGCAAAAAATAAAGAATTAAAGCACATAAGTTTTATGGGATTCCACCAGACTCCTCACAAAATCAAATTACTTTTATTTTCATTCCCAGAAATTACATTTTGCAACCCAATTTACGCTGAACTGTCGAATATATTACAAAAGGGAGTTCAAATGTTTCATTTTGGGCTGCTGCAGGAATCAAGTGACATAATTTGACTACTTGAGATAGAAGAGCAATTTACTAGCATCAAATAACAAGTTCAAAGAAAACCTTGAGTGCAGTCTGTTTCAGTAGGTTTAAAACTCATCCCTTCAAGGTGAATTTTCCAGGCTCACTGTATGTCTTTTCCAAATGCTCAACCCTGTTTATTCTGAAACCCCTGATCCTTACTTCCTCTGGTGCTGAAACATCTTTGTAATCAACATTTTCGATCATCCAACCCTTGTTTTGCACCGAACCCCCGACCTTTACCTATTACAAGTTCACTTTATAAATACCACTGACAAACTTGCTACTGTGACATGATGCAGAATATCATATCCTATAAATAACAGGAAATACAATGAAAATGTTGGGAAACCAGGTGTAACATCCAAGTATGAAAAAAAAAAAAAAGAATTATAACCTGACATCTGTGTACTATCTTAAATCACCCAATTATAACCAACACAGTGATTTTATATGTACTTGAAGAAAAAAGCATTGCTGAAAAAAAGGCTTTAGCTTACCTCTGTTTCCTCAACAGCATCAATGACAAGAGCTCCATCCAAGGAGAGATCTTCAAGAAAGATGTTACGTCCCTTGATGACCATGGCAGATTTCTGAGAAATGGAACAGCTTCCGCTCACTTTTCTCTTAATATCTGCAAAAGTAAGCGCCCATTTGGGCTTCCAAGTGATAAGGGGCCATACTTCGACCTCCTGTCCATTGAACACCTGATTTACTGGATCTTCAACTTTAACCCCAGCCTGCAACAAACATAATCCATTATATAAGTTTTGCACATATATTCTTCCAGAAATAGACAAAAAGAGAAAGAAGGAGGGGGGGGGGGGGGGGGGGGCATGGCCAAAGCTTGTGTTTCCTTGGGCTACAAAGTTCTAAAGTATCTCGTTTCTAAAATGAACCCATCACACTTGTCAGTTATCCAATTTCAAGTGCCACAAGCAAGCACATAAGTACACATATGCACACATACACATGTCGATTGTCGAGCTATTTTAATCTTAGAATTCTTCTATAGCTCGTTTGCCCTTGAATAGAGACCATATGGAAACCTATGGTCAAAGTTTGAAATATTACTGAATAGACAATAATTTTACTGGTTCCTGCAAAAACAATGACCAAGGTTGTTAAATGAGCCAAGCAGACTCTGTCACCAGCAAATTTGCATCAGTACTTTTTAGGGCAACGATTAGGAGCTGAAGTCTTGTTCAACCTGAAATAATATGATCCTTGTTAACATTACTAAGATTCTGATGTCATAGAGCGAAGGGAACATTGGGGCATGGCGCATAATATGACCCCTGACTTTCGGGTTCAAGTTTCAGAGTTGGGAGCAGACTGTGAAATCTGTGAAAATGAAGGAAAGCCATCCCCTGGTGAGAAGGCAGCAATGACTGCTAAACAAAAAACAACAGAACACCACGACATACTTGGAGGGAATGAGAAATTTCTTAAAAACTCTCTTTCAAAACTTCTCAATTTGTAGCAGCTCAATCTGTGTTCAAAGCTATTTTCATGAACAGAAAAAGCTATGGTTATGAGAAGCAGGTTTGACGATCAGCCAAAATAAGCCTCAAGGACTTTCTTCGGGCCACAGCTCACCTAAGCGAGAACAAATTTCCACCCTGCCCATGCGCTGGTTCTGCTTACTGATGTCAGCAAGACCAAAATATGCCATTGACAGATGTTTACAAGGTAAATATGGTAGCCGACTCACAAAACAAGAAGGCAGACGCACCAAGCTACCATGATTCAATGGTCCCAGAAATGTAATGGTCTAGTTAGTTACGTGCTTCGTTGTACATCGTGCCATGCAAGGCACATGTGCAGGGCCTGGTCACCGCACAGCCCGTGCTCATGCTTGTGCTCATCTAGGAAGCACGGATACTCGTCGGGGGGTCGCCGTGGCAGTGTTGGACACGTGTCCGACGGTTGGATACGTGTCCGACACTTGTAGAAGTGTCCTGAACAGTGGCTATCATTTTTTTTGGTCGGATACGTGGGGGATATGGCGGGATACTTTTGTTATTTTAAAAACTTAGGTGGGTCGAAACGAAAAAAAAAAGGCCAAAGTTACGTCGTTTTGGCTTGGAAAAGAAAAAACTAAAGCGTTGTTGATCTGTGAACCGACTCCAATCGACATTCGGTGTGAGAGAGAGAGAGAGGAGAGAAGAGAGAAGAGAAGAGGAGGAGCTCGAGAGGACCAGAGGAGGAGAAGAAGAAGGAGAGGGAAGAGGAAGGGCAACTCACCTGCGGCTGCGATCGCGCTCTGCGACTGTGATCCTCTTCTTGCTTCTATTTTTTTTTTTTCAGATCTACTGCTGCTCTTACCTCTTCATCTTCTAGTCTGTGTGGAGTGTGGACTTTCAAAAAATTTGATTAGGTTAATTTGATTGGGGATTTTTAGGGTTTTCAAAATTTGGGAATTTTGTTTTGGTCCAGTGTTGTGTTGCTTGCTGCCTTCGGGATTTTTTTTTGGTCTTGGTCATCTGTGTTGCTGCCAACTGGTTTTAAATACTAAAAATTGCTTTCCTAGCTTGCTGCCTTTCGGTGTTGTGTTGCTTGCTACCCGCTGGTCTTCTTTTTTTTGTTGTGCTTCGATCTTCTCTTTTTTGTTATGCTTTCCTAGCTAGCTTTTTTTTGGGTCATCTGTGTTGCTGCCTTCTGTGCTAGTGTAGCCTGCTGGTTTTGAAAATTATATATATTTTTTTAATTTTGATCTATTTCAATTTAAGTAATGTTTGTTATGTCTTGTTTGTTATATATATAAAAATATATATAATTATTTTAATTAGTCGTATCCTCGCCGTACCCGTATCCTACATTTTGGGATTTTGCCGTATCGCCGTGTCCGTATCCGTGCTTCTTAGGTGCTCATGCTTGTGCTCGTGCTCGTAACCGTGCCCGTGCCTGTGTCTGGGTCATTCCTGGGATGTTTATAGATTAGTTTCATAATTAACGCACAGAATTACCCCTCAAACAACCGTTATATTGCTGTTGGGAGGGGTCATTTTGGCAATGTGGGTCAAACTTTCAAAAAAACTGCCGTTGGGTAATGCCTAGGCCTTGCCCGGACCTAGTGCCGAGCTTGTGCTTGGAAAGGACCCATGCCGCGTCAGCGGTAATAGGCTGGAAGGGCAAGCCCAGCATGGCACAGGGGTCACTCCTGGGCAGGCATGGCTAGTTCTGTGATGTGCTGTCCTGTGCCTGTGCCCGTGCCAAACCGGGCCATGATACACCTCTAAATGGTATATTCATGGTAGTGGCAATTGGCATCGGTTATAAGGTATGGTCTGGACTCTGGAATTCCAAGGGGAGGAAAGTTCTTAATTTCTTTTGCTTTTACATTAAATAAAAATTGCTAAAAAAGTGTCTGACGCACTGCCCAAATAATTTGTTGTACAACTGTAAAACCACCATACAATCATTGGAGAATAGTGTGGATCATAATACAGACATTGAAATAAGCATTATCAAGTAAAAAATTGGTTACAAACCTAAAATAATATGAGAAGACTTATAAAGTACCTTTCTTAATATGAGGCTGTTTGCCCTATAAATGGCCATTTCTCCGGAAGTAGCACTGTGATATGGATTTCCCTTGGGTACCTTCAGTTCAATTCAACAAAATTAATAGAGATGAATGGGGCACGTGAGTTTAAAAACATCAATCACAAAACAGTTTCAATGGTATAGAAACAAGAAATGTCAATGAAAAATCACCTAACACAAATACCTCTGGAAATTTTTACATAACCATCTAACAATAAAAGGTGCCATCTAGTCTATCAGGTAAATACCAAAGAGCTGAGATCAAATCTTTCAGCGGGTTTGGGGGACTTATGGGGGGATAGCTTATTTAATGGGCCACAGTGAACAATGTACTAAAAATATACTGGACAAAGAAATACCTTAGCAGCATCTTCAGGGTTGTTCTTCACAGGTGCATAAGCAAGCCATGTATCCAACACCTAAGAAGTCAGACAATAGTTGTAATTTCAAAATGAATGACGGATTTTAAAGCAGCTTCATAACATATTCTGTCCAAGAAGTAAGAAAACAGATGTCAAATGGAAGATATTGATACACAAGTTATCCAGCACTCTACTCACTGTAAATCCAACCCTTGCTGATGGAGGCAATGTTTTAGGATAATCTTGCATCATACACTCTAGCCGAGTAGAAGATTTAAATGCAGATTTGCTAGAATCTTTATATCTGCAGTGAGAGAAACAACACATTAGTCACTAAAAGAAAAGGAAAGTTTCAAAATAGCTTTGCACATTTGAGATTCCAACAGAAACTGGATGGCACAAGTTAGTGTGTCATGTTAGTGATCAGCCAAATTCTGGCTAGTTCAAATATCATGATTTAACCCTCATAAAGCTTGAGGTCTGAAGGAGTCAAATTGTCAAAACCTGGTACAGGTAATGACAATTTAACTTTCTTGTACATCAACAACTGGAATCTTTAGGCGTTGACAAAAGTACCTTGGATATCGTTTTTATAATAATTTGGGGCTCAACGAATTACCAAAACTGAACTGTAAAGTTGTGACCAACAAATGGAAATGGCCCGAGAGGAACAGTTCAACACATAGAGCCACACACTGCTACTGCTAATGCCCCCGTTACCTAACTCCGAAAGAGAAGATCACATCCTATAGCTGCCTTCGCCTCTCAAATACTTATCTATCTGTATCACTCTTCCCGCTTTTAACTGAGAAACTGCCACCAATTCTATAACAGCGTCTGGTTTTGATCTAGCACAGCTACCAAGGAACCTTTTTCATATTTAGGTTGGCAATCAAAGGAAGGTCGTCTAAAGATGATAGACTATGGGTGAGAAACTTTATCTCCAGAAATTTTGTGTATTACAGTTGTTGTGAAGGATACCAAGATCATCCAGTATTCCGTTGCCACTTTCTCACAGATTTATAACCCTGATTTTAGCCGAGCTATGCCATAAAGACAGTGCCTGGGGCTCTGGAGTTTCCATCCCGATTGAGTTGCCAAAAAAATAAAGGAATGTATATGTAGGGGTTGCCAGGAAGGTAGCATTTGCACCTTTGACTAATCACATATGGATGGAGAAACGATGCACTCTCACGGACACGCAGCTTAATAGTGATATTTCAGAAAACTGAAGGATACTCATTCAATGGAAGACCTCTCAAACATCATTCATAGAACTGTGTCACTGATTTTATTTGTCAAACATGCTGGGTTTTCTCAGCTACTTCTGTTCTTTCTGTCTAGATTTAGGTTAGCTTCTGGAGTTGCTTAGAGGGCTTGTATTGGGCATTTGGGTATGTCTTCCTTAACGCTTAGTTTCCTTGTTTATTTACTTGTCTAATTTTTTTAACAAAATATATTTGATAAAAAGAGGGTGTCTGCTGTAGCAGTAAGATCACTTCATTATGATCTGGGTGTCATAGATTCGAGTCGCGAAACTAGTCTCTCAGCATACGGGGGTCGTGCACTAGACTGTCCTTTTTCCTATTTGATCAAAACATATGAATCACTACGTGATGCGTAACTGATGTGTTGTATTTCTTTACCCACATAGGCAACATGTGTTGGATAATATATGCAACCAAATTACGTGAGCTATTATCTGCCACATTTGATTCAGAACCAGAATAACTATTTTTTCTTGGAAAAAAAATACAACAGTATAGCTCTGTAACTTGTGCAGGAAGTAAGTAGATGGAAAACAATCCGAATATTTTCGGACAATGAAAAGTGAAACCACCAAAACAATGCACAAGCATCATTATTTTAAAATCAAGTCTTGATCATACAGAGAAGCAGACAGACAAATTACTTGGGGTTTACAAACTCCTTTATAGAACCTCCAGTTTTTGTAAGCTCTTCGATGTAAGGGCCAAGTTCGAAAATCAACTGCACACAATATATAACCCCACAAGTCAAGCCTAAGCAAGAAAATATTTAGCTAGGAGGGAAAAAATAAAAAAAATAATAATCAATCAACACCAAAAGAACCAAATCTGATGACATAAATTTCTCTAAGGTGACAAATATGTGAGTAAACTATTTGATCATCGATTACCTCATTACTACGACTTTTTCTGCACCTAATGCTTTGTAAATAACGTTTCTAATAAAAGGAGGTATCCATCAAAAGTGCACCCAACATTAGATAGAATCCAGGAGAACAAAATACAGGCAAATAGGCACTGGGGCGGAGCCAGTAAATTAGTTTAGGGGCATATTAACGAGTTCTAATTTTTTTTTTTTCCAATTAACTGTAAAAGTTCATAAATTCATATTTGTTAAAATCATATTTAAAAACTTCAAAGTTTATTAAACATAGTAAAAATAAAAAATCGATCTACATCGCGTGTACACAAAAATTAAAAAAAAAATTAATTATAGTTTGGTACCAAGAATAAGACTACGATACAAATCGGTGCCATCAACCAATATTTTTTTTTAATATATAAAATCATGGTAACAATCATCCATTTATGACTCTGTAGGTTCTTACATTATGCACTCATTTCCAAATAATAATAAAATAATTCTATAATTTAAAAAAATTACACAATAACCCTAATATGTCCAAAACTTATTGGGACATAACCGAAGCGTATCCATCATATGGATAGCGGACTCTATTAAATATTAGGACTCACTATTAGATTTAATGTCACAATATATTAGGTACTGAAATTAGGTTCCAAATTCCAATAACGTTGGTCAAAAGTTAGTAATCATTTAGGCAAGAGTTTTTATCCTAATCCATATCACAAGAACGCAATAATAGGGTGAGCACAATGAAATATGTTTAAATTTTATTTTAAAAAATACATACCTAATGTCAAACAAAAAAAATTGAGGGTACCTAGTCCAATGGTATTAATAGGCAATAATGATTATGGAGCAATCAATTTGTTGTGTTATACTTGTCACTGCAAAAATATTTATGCAGAGGGCACCATACATCGAGATTTTCTTGAGTTCATCCCACCTAGCCCGCACCATTTTCTCATTTCCAACCCTTTCTGTGTATGCACATATGTGCATGTGAATGCAACCACCCACCACGTCACAAGACAAACAGTCCGGCACAAACACAGGTAGAGATGTTTGCGTAAGAGTCCAGACGCAAAATACGTGGGCAGATAGGCTTCACTCAAGAAACTTATGTCTGCACATAAGACGGAGTGAGATGGAGTGAGTCAAGATATTGGAGAAATCTGATACTCATGACATACATGAGTCAATACTCCTTTCGATCATTTTGACCTAAAATTATTTGTCATTCCAATGCCCTCAAGTAACTAATATGTGTGACAAGACATAGATTATATAACTTGAAAACCAAAAAAGCACAGCCCCTGATAACTTTTAGTGAAACTTTGAGATGATAATGACTACAACGCGGCCTGATAAAGATTGCAACCAACTGGGCTTCACCATTCTATATTTGAGAACAAAAATTTTCACATTTTGTTCCTTTTTAGGGTTTAAATGATGATATTCTGCCTATTGTCAACCTTATGCACCCTTCTCTGGACTTGGGTGGTCGAGCTGTTTAAAAAAAGGGAAGGGCCTGAACATTATGACAACTCATTCTCAAAATCAACTTAAAGGAAACAATTAATCTAAATCGTTGGAAATTATTGACATCCCATCAATGGAGAAAATAGCTCAAATAGCAAACACATGAAGACAATAATCAGGCCTGGCTAATGAGTCATCGCAAAGAAAATGGAAAACCAAAAACATGCTTGTGAAATGTATGTGTGAATAAAAGAAATAAGAACAATATATCTTTATGAAAAAAAATGTACTTGGTTTATGTTTCCAGGAAAAGGAGAATAGCCGGTTTCACAATTGACATCACCATCAGGATATCCAGTTGCTCTAAGCAGAGGATCAAGCTGATTGTATTCCACGTTAATCACCATCGTCCTCCCTGAAGTCAATTGAATTTTATGTTAGTAGTCTATCATTAAAATAGGAAGTTCATTGTCCACAGGAACATTCTTGTGAGTATTGCTTCTCCATGCTACATCATGTTTTATTTAAATAACATAGAAACTCAAACACCATGGTAATAAACTTCAGCCACACTTATAGAAGAATGCTCATTAAGTGTATCCTACTTCCTAAATCAACCTCTCCATATAAATCTTCTGAAAGTATACAGAACGTGCAAGTCTAACAATTTATCGTTCACTATGTGGCTGGCTCAAAAAGAACAACTTATTTTCTACATGGAAATTGCTTTGGGCTTTTAATACCTATGTTTCAAGCATTAAAGTTTTTTTTTTTTGGTCCAGAGGAGGTTGTACCAATGAATTTGTTGTGGACCTGTGGTTCATATACGCTGAAATGAATGATCAGGTTGTATCAGCAAACCATAGATTTGCATGTTGAGGTTTGGGATTACTAGAAAATCGAGATTTACATATACAATGGTAACTTTAAGTTTCTTAATAAAAAATGTGATGTCTAGAAGACTAGAACAAATAGTCTGAATCAAGACTTTGGACTGATGAAGCAAACCGCCAGAGCAGAGGTTGACAGAGTAACATTGCACCTATTCAAATATCAGATTTCAGGGATCACAAGAATGTCATATTGGTCATTTGATATTAAATGCTGGTGGCCTGCTTAAAACATGCAAGTTGGATGGTGAGTAGTGTTTTCAATAGCGGATGGGACATGCAACAAAGTGGCAAGATTCAAACTAGGCATTTGGACATGCCATCTACAAGCTCATCACCTTACATTAACCTCCCTCATTTCAAGCCCATTATTTACAGTTATTGTGAGAATTTAAAAAGACATGGTGAAGTTATCTGGCGGAACTGACTAATAAGTTGGCAAAATCTGAATATCTAGAGCTACTGTTCTGGTCCTTCCCTTTAAAATAAGAGAAAGAGGGACTCTTGTTTCAGCAAGTCCCATGGTACATCCAACGTGGATTACTTTAATTCCCATCAAGCAGGGATAATAATTCTAATCCTGGGATAGGATAGATAAGTAATATGCTAAGTCAAAGTTCCTCAAGCATAATTAAAGATCGATGAGAAAGCTTGAAGGTCAAATTGCAGATCAGTAGTTGTGATGCAGAAACCAAGCAAAATATCATATTTTCCCTTCCTTTGTACTTGACAATCAATAAAAAGTACCATCTGCATGAGTAAGCTTGGCTATGCCTCCAATGGCTTCTTTAGCTTTGCGAGGGACAGCAAGAGAATTAACATGGTATTGTTTGGAGGCACTAACACCCAATGCTGCTGGAATGGCCTGACATATCAAGAAGGAAAGAGGATAACTATTCCACTACAATCAAACATAAGTCTTCCTCCAAAAATATATACATGGGAACAAAACTTAACCAAACCTTGAAGAGAAGTCCATTAGTATCTTGAAAAAACAAAACCCATCTCAAACCAGCTTCATGCCTGTGTATGATAATGAACATGGTTAAAGTCACGTCAACACAGAATTGGAGTTCATAAACAATTATAAATTTCATCAATTAGCTTGAAAATGGACACATGGAAAAATTCAATGTCAAGAAATTCTTAACCCAGCATCATGACTGAGATTCCAGGGAACTGATTTCTAAAGGGTAAATCAGTGTTTGAGCATCGAGACAGATGGTTATATGCAAGTGAGAGTCATAAGTCTCTCCAATTACTTTGCCCAGCATTACTAAGTAAATTTATTTTTTACTGAGCAGTATTCTAATTCATAGAAGGATATCTCGGTTCATTATAGTTAAATGGATTCTCATGGATCAAGGCCACGCATTTGAGTTTTAAAACTCGATATAAGAGGCATTCAAGCATGCACCTAAAGTTTGTGGAGATCTTGCCATGGTAAATCAACATATCAAAATCAGCGATAAACAAAAGAGGCAGGACAACAAGGTTATAAGAAGACCCTACCATTCCTTTAGAAGGCCGCTTGAATAAAGAAGTGAATGAACATCACCATGGCCATGAGGTTTTGTCTATTACACAAAGCAAAGGAAAACACAGATGAAAAGACAAAAATAAAATTCTACTATATGAAAGACAGAATTCCTAGTGTTTCTCAAAAGAAATATCAGCATATGTGTGTACTCATAAAATCCAAGAAATAGTAAAGTTACCTGAATTCGGTATTTGTTATGTGGGTCTACAGAAAACCTTGCATCATTATCATCTAAGCACGCAACTTTTTCCTGGCATAAATATGCAGCAACATATGTAACAATTCCATTCTGCTTAAGTAGATACAAGATCTGCAATCAGGATCAGATACTTGCCTGCTTCAAAAGTTTTACTTGTGTAGATTTCATTCCAAAATAACCATTTGATTCTAACAGCTCCACAGTATGTGAATGTGTATCATCAGATGTCATTATAACCAAAGGAATCTCTCCTTGGTGTTCGCCTACAAATTTTAAAGCAACACTATAGGTTATAGACACGGAATTCATTTATCAGTTTAATGTAAAGATCACCTTCTTTATAAATATCTTACAGAAGAAGACTCAAAAGGTAGTCTGGTGTTTGCTATGTAGAAAGGAAAATTTTTAGCGCCAAAGCTCAGTGGCCCATTTTTATGGCTGGATACTTCACAAGTTTATGTGATATAAAAGTCTGATTATGCAATCTTGCTGCATGTGTTTTTATACGGGAAAGAAAAAATAACTCAATCTTATAACCTGATAATCTCCTGGGACAACTCATATCTGTCACATAACTCAGCCCAAGGAACTAAACAAATATTCTGGATCTATAAGTTCACTGCCAGATACGGTCCTCAAATTGATTAACAACTATTGAACTCCACATAGCATACAACATTTTTTTCCTCAAGACCAGTCAAACTAGTCCAACTATGGCTTAGTCTGGATTTAATCCGATATTCTTTCAATCAATAAAAGCAGTTTTATGATCGGACATGAACCAGAATTAAGGGGCCTTGAGATTTTTTTTTTTCTCTTCAATACTTTCTCCACAAAAGAATTCACCTAATGTCCAGAAAGGGAAACTTTATGTAGTAAATCAACAACGACACTATTTATGTGAGCAACTGTCACAATTTTCTAGAGATAATAGGCGCCAGCATTTTCTAAGGCCACACAAATATATGGAAATCAATGATGACACTATTTATGTGAGCAACTGTCACATATTTCTAGAAATAAGTGAAATGTTTGTTTTTGTCAATGAAAGCCATTTCCGGAACACATATTCAAATCTGTCTTCACCAAACAAGCTGCTGCAAACTCATTAAGCCTGCAAATTTAGAAATTCTATTCTGCTCATTAAAATATAAGATATGTCCACCATTTTTTGCCCAATCATTTTATAAAGTCTTAGTAGAAGCAAAACTTGAATCATTCTACCGCTAACATCTTGTAAGGCTAGAATAGACTCGATGTAGTGTTGTAAGAAGCATGTTCCACTCGTAGACTCTGCAGGAAGAGCCACCTGTCAGATATAATAAAAAGTGGTCAAAAAGTTTGTAACGGATTTATTTCAGGCTATAGACAAATAGCTGCCAGTTTCAGTACTAAAAATGTGGATATGGTGCACATAATATATCTACAGGTGAAATCATTCCCATGCAGCACAACCACCTAATATAATAATGAATAATTTAGTTCCAGATCAAATGCCAGGAAATTGTTGCAACAACCAAAATTTTATTCCACCATTCAGCAAAATGCTCACACAAGAAAATGAATTCTTTACCTTTATGCCATTGTATCCAAGCCGTTCACCAAGGCCCCCCGCAACAAGAACAAATGCAGCATTTCGTGCTTCCCTAACTCCAATATTCTCAAATTGAACAAAGTTATCGTCACCAAAAGTCAGAACCTCCCCTGATGGAACCTGCAATAACATTTTCCACATCATTAATGAACATCGACGTTGTTTAAAACCTCCAGTTGAGAGAACCCATTCTCTGCTTTTTTCATAGACATATCATATAACTCCACAAAGAACAAGTACAGATGTCAACCGTCAGACTAACTGAAATTAGGTGAATGTGACAACATAAGTTGTCTAATACAAACCATCACAAATCTTTTGACCAGACAATACGTTCACAAAGAAAACCATTGTTATTAAAATCGTTCAATTAGTATGATTCGATTTGATTTAATCCCAATTCGATTCTTATCTTACTATAGAATCATTTTTTTGCTAGGAATCACAGCTGAATCGTACAATTTGATACGAATTGAATGAATCACACGATTCGTTTTGTTTTTTAACTACGTCGTTTTGCTAAAAGAGATCCACCTCAAAATATAAAACTCACGTCTCTCTCTGTATCTCTTGTTCGCGCCTCTGCCTTTTTAAGTGACAGTTCTAGCATCTGGGAACATCACACAGAGACAATGTCTCCTTCACTCAAAGTATGCTTATTCGTCAACAACATCTATCAAACTCTAACACACCCTACATCTTCTTCAATACATGTTTTTTTTTTCTGCTTTTCATCAAAAAATTATTTTTTAATCGAATGTGGGAAGTGATTTTCTAAGTTTACATGTTCAAATCAATGTGGCCTTTTTCTGTTTTAGTTAACTTCATTAGTATCAGGAAAACAATTGCTATTTCATCGTGGCCATTCATTTTGATGGAGCAATTTATTATGTATTAAGAAAGAAGTAACAGAGGTACACTAAAGTTTAGCTTCCTATTCTTGTACCATGTAAATACACTCAATTGTTGGTTTTTAAAATACAATAATGTGCAATATTTAATGTTCAATACATGTTATTTTTTTATCTTTGTTCGAATATTGTGTCGAATCTTGCGATTCCCGATTCTCAACTCTAATATTTTGATTCCCGAATATCGATTTAATAATTATGAAGAAAACATAAAGCAGTCATATCATGAATCTAGCAGAAGTGCCAGGAATGGTGCTACCCATGTAAATCAACATATGGTATGCCAGATTTCCTCTATCTCAGTCCTGAAGTAGAAAAACATGAAACCACGGCTATCCGTGAACTATTATTCAGTTGGCATCTTAATGTCCAGAACTCAGGCAGTTATTCCCATCCCAGTCATTGAGGATACATCAGCATTTAAAGGAAAAAGGATCCACGCATTTGAAACAAGTCTGTCCAAAAGTATTGCTTCACTTACGTTATCCACATTTTCTCTTTTCAATTTGCTTTTTTCCCCTGATAAGAAATGGTGAAATTTGTGTTCCATTTACTTAAGTCACTTAAACTCGGTCAACTATTTGAACATCAGACAAGGTGACATTTTTTTGGGATATTTACAAAGTGTCAAATACATGTGCTGTTATATATGGTACCAGGCACCAGTTGACAGCAACCTAGTTTTACCTTGACATGTGGCCACCTGCAGTCCATATACTGTGTGCTTCTTTAAATTCTGAAGGAGATTCTCTGATCAGCAAGGTCAATCCACTACATCCTCTTTTACCAAATTTCAGAGTTGACTATGTGGTCATTATCCGAGATAAACAGGACAATCATCATTTACACATGCAACAAATCGTATGCTTCACAAGAAGCACTAGCTGACAAAGGATTCATTCTAGAAACAAATATAGCTAAAAATTAGCACATGGAGTTTGGACAGAACAGAGTAACAATCGTAGGATTTATTATGTTTGAAGGGATTTGGCTGCCAAAAGAATATACTATGTTGCAGTCTTCTCAGAGTATTCTCCAAAAAATTGCAGTCTTCTTCTCTCTATTTTGAATTCAACAATGTACCTTAATAATACATTAACCTTCTTAACAAAATAGAATTCAAAAAAAGGACATACCTCAGCGAGAGAAAACTAACTTCAAATCAATTAAAAAGAAACAGAACATATGCACAGGATTCATCATTTGCAGGCATTGAATGGACTAACTTACTGAAGGTGTAAAGCCGTCAAATGGGTTCTTTCCAGCCTTTGAATCTGCTAACAGTTGTCTAGCAGTTTGGATATATGACATCAAACCCCCAGGATAGCTTGCATTAAGTCGAGCCATCTGAAAGAAGCAGCTATGCAGTTGTGAAGAGTTTTAAAATCTAGTAACTTTACGTCAACAGACGATATGCAAAGAGAATAGCAGATTTTTTTACAGTAGGCCAAATCAAAGGCAATGTCATAAAGATATATTTGAGATCGACAATAGCAGATCTCATAAGGGAATCTAGATACCAACCATTATAACCTACACTTCAATCTCATAGTAATATTAGTAGCAGTACTGTTCATAATACCACTACAAAAAAAAAATCTTCAACATCAATTCCAAGCCACCAATTTCAGCAAGACTATTTGGCAAATTAAAATAAAAACATTTTCACAAATTTTACCCAAAATTCAGATAATTTCAATCTAGCCAGAATTTGATGAGGTCTTCACAGCTGAATCCAAAATTTCACAAACACTTAGATAATAAAGTCATATCCCATGGCCCATCCGAGAGAGAGAGAGAGAGAGAGAGAGAGAGGGTAGTTTAATCAGTCAACATAAGAGGTTCAGCAACTAGTGGGTTTGCAGCAAATAAGCCAATGTTTAATATGTCTACACACTGTTTTGTGCATTGACACAGCACCACTAAACAGAATCAGAGATTTCCGATCAGACATGTGTAAGGGGTAGAAATCGCTACGGGATTTCAGCCCTCCACTTTAAGGATTCTGGCTGACTTGGCGGCACCGAACTTCAGTAGCCTTTACCTCTCTTCGCCAATAGGACTCTTTCCTAAGGCAATCCCACATCGGAAGAGAGTCGTCTCCCCCCTGCCATATAAATGAATATTTTTTTATGGAGGAGATACCCACTAGGCACCTGATCACGTCGCTAGTGGATACCTCCTCCTCTATAGAAAGTATTCATTTATATGGCAGGGGGGAGACGACTCTCTTCCGATGTGGGATTGCCTTAGAAAACCTTTTTTGTAGGGGGTAGAAATCGCTACGGGAATTTCAGCCCTCCACTTGAAGGATTCTGGCTGACCTGGCGGCACCGAGCCCCAGTAGCCTTTATCTCTCTTTGCCAATAGGATCCTTTCCTAAGGCAATCCCACATCGGAAGACCCCCTGCCATATAAATGAATACTTTCTATGGAAGAGGTACCCACTAGCGACCTGATCAGGTGCCTGGGTACCTCCTCCATAGAAAGTATTCATTTATATGGCAGGGGGGAGACGACTTGAGCACTTTTCGTACTCAATACACAAAGTATGAATTGTGATACAACAAACATGCACATAAACAACCCCAACGAACACACAATATATTACAAACATATATATACATATTGTTGTTAACCTAAAGATACTGATCACCACCTTAAAACTTAGAGCAAAGAGACTGCAAACCAATTTCTCAGACAAAATATAGATGACTTACACAAAAACCTAGAATCAATCAATTCAACGAAAGGAATAGTGAAAAATATTTGGGAAAGTGAAACTCTAGTCACCAGTGGAATTGCACATAGAAGAATGAAAACACAAAATGTAGTGGCAAGGGGAAAAGGACCTCATCATTTTTAAGTAAGATGATTAAAGCGATCTCACGCCATCAAAACCATAAATTTTCTACTAAAGGGAGAACATGACTTTGAGTACACAATGCATATCAAAATTGGAAGCTATTAATACAAACCAGTACACCCATCAGTGCAGTAAGATTGTCTTAGGAAAGGATCCTATTGGCGAAGAGAGGTAAAGGCTATTGGTACTCGGTACCGCCAAGTCGGCCAAAATTCTTCAGCTGAAATCCCGTCTTAGGAAAGGGTCCTATTGACGAAGAGAGGTAAAGGTTACTGGGGCTCGGTATCGCCAAATCAATCAAAATCTTTTAGGTGGAAGGCTGAAATCCCGTAGCGATTTCTACCCATTACAACATGATTTATAAATGACAATGTACCTGATCAAAGAAAGCTCGCTTCTCATCATCATCGACCCCTGGTTCAGTCCATTTCTCAAACACGTGACTCTGTCCCATCTCGACCAACATCTTCGCCAGCTCAATCTAAACACAACATTCAATTCAAACAATATCACTCTCTCTCACACACGCACACACACATCCTATCAATCAAGAACGACCAAATTCCAATCGATAATTTTCACGTACAAGTGAACCAACCTGTTGGGGAGAGAGAAGAGAGAGGTTCTGCTGAAGATTGGGAGGAGCATCGACGGCCCAATCGGCATCGATGTTTAGCTTTGACAGGATATTAGAGGTCGATCCGACAGTCGAAGCCATGATGACGTCAGTTGGAACAAGTTACAGAGAATGTCTTACGAGAATGAGAGCGACGGAGTAATGATTGATTCTCCTGAGCGTATTAAAAACGGATGAATGGAATAAACAAATACACTCTAATATAGATAAAAGACAAAATTACATATGGTAGTAGTATAATATTTAAATATTTGATAATACATAATATAAGTATTGAATAATAATTATTTAATTCAATCAGTTATTTGGTCAAAAAATTATTTTTTCGTATTTAATATTGAATTAATAAAAATATTCTCAATCAATATTTGTTATATTAATGATAACTTGATTTTATCATTTGGGGGTTATAATTGTAAATATGTAAAATAATTTGTTTGAGTTTGATTATAATACTACCTCTTTTTGTGATATTAAAAGACTTTCATAATACAGGTCTATCGTATTAAAAATATACGATAAGTATACAATTAATTTATGTTTTTAAAATTAATACTATATTAAATTTACTTATCAAATAAAATATTAGACCAAATTAAATAAAAAATAATATAATATAATATATAATTTCCTCACAATACATCTATCAAACAGACTCATAATAGTTGGACTTGACTATAAGGAAGAAAAAATTTCGTACCTTATCTTTAGCTTTTACTAGTTCAATGAATATTTTTATAATTTTTGTAAATTAATTTATAATAAAATTTTTATTATTTTTATGGATATTTTTATCGCTATTGTGGATGTTTTTTCTACATTTGGGGTAATTATTTTTACTACTTTTCTTCGATATACAAAAATTATCTCTTTTGTAAGTAATTTAATAATTTATCACACTTGTGAGTATTTTTATTATTACTATGACAATTACTTTAACTATTTTTTTAGATACCAAAAATAATATTAAAAATACTAATAAAATAATAAAAACAACCACAATCAATGGAAATATAATATCCAAAAAATAATAATAATAATTTGACTTCTTAGTCAACTCCATAAGGGTGTGTTTGGATAATCGAGAAGGATAGGAATGTATTAAATTTTTTGTATCATAACCCATCCACCCAAACTCATTCAAGCACTTAATTAGATGGGTTATGTATACCATACAACGCAATTCATTGTTTGGCAAGGATCAATTGAATGGGATGGACTCCACTAGACTTTTGTAGATATTTATCATTATACCCATCATCATCTTCATAGCTGCTTCCTCCACTTTCCACCACCAAAATCGCCATAGCCACCTACTTGACGAAACCCACGGCCAGAAAGCACCAAACACCACCACCACACAAGGTATTCCACCACCGTCAAAGCATAACAACGAAATCCACGACCAGAAAACACTAAACACCACCACCACCACACAGGGTATTCCACCACCACCAAAGCAGAACAACGAAACGCAGCACCGTGAAGTACCGCCACAGCGAATCAATGAAACCCAACACCGTTGAACCACCAACATTACAGCGAATCAACCAAACCCAGCACCGTGAAGCACCAAACATTTCCACCACCAACCCAAATAAACATACCCACCAAATATGGTTTGCAGAAACCCTAGGCCTGGCCTTCGTCACCTTCACAAAACGAGAGAGAAAGAGGAGACAGACGGAGAGCGAGAGCCAGAGATCTGGGCTATTCGTTGCCTTCACAAAGCCAAAGAGAGAGAACTCAAGAGCGGATGGGATGGGTAAATATGTCATTATCCTTCATAACCCGTCGGCTGGGATTGAAACCCAGGGTGGAGCTGGGGTTAATTTTAACCCATGCAGTAGGGTTAAAAAGTACTGTAGCATTCGGGTCAAGAATAAACCTGGGATTGATATCCTAACTAATTTTTGACTTCCCAAACAAAAATTTTGTGGGACCTATTATCTCATTACTCTATCCTTATGGAGGTTATCCCACCTTAACCCACTATCCAAACACACTCATAGTAGTTTATTGTCAACTAGGACAACACTTGTATATTTGGGGTATCTCTTGTCATTTTCGTGTTCTTATTTTTAGATCACTAATATTATTATGACACAATTAAAGGATATAATTGTAAAACATAATGTATTATGGCCATTGAATTAATAATAAAGTGTATTTAATATTGAATGAAACTCACGAAGGCTTTTAAACTTAAATTTAAAAAAAAAAAATATATAATAATTTAATCTTTACAGTATGGTGAAATCTCACCATTAAGATTTAGGTATAGATTTAGGTCTCCCTTAATTTGAGTTTAAAAAATAATTTCTCTTCATTTAGTATGAATATAGATTTAACGTTAGAGAAGTATTTTAGATAATTTTTACCCAAATTTAAATTTGAGTACAAAAAGGGAAGGGCTGAAAATGCTCTTAATAATCAAATGGTCATAATTATTATATTCTCAAATTATGTCTCATACAAAAAATTATTTAATGTTTTACAAGTATCTAACATTAATTTAACTAATTTATTATGCATAGTAATCGTCTTAATTTTAAAATTATGTTGTCTCAGGTTCGTATTGTATTTTGTCAATTAATAAAATTAGCACCCCCTATTTTATAGTAAATTATGTCTTCAAATTAGATTTAAAAGGTACAAGTAGTATTGCTCTTATCTTAATTAAACAATTAATTCTAATTTATTAGAACCGTAAAATTCTAAAGATATATCAAAATAATGCAATTGAAATATTGAGAACTAAAATGAGATAAATCTTATACTTTAGGAACCTGTAGTGCAATTAATCCTAAAAATAATCAAATTCATTTGATTTGCAATTTTCTCATGTACCAATTCTTTCTTTGTCATTTTTTATTTTCTTTTTAAACCCAAGTTATTTATTTGACCCTTACTCAAGCAGTCCACATGGACGATTGACATTTTATGCCCTCGAATTTTACAAAAATCCATAATTTACGCCATGAATTTCTTCAACCACTAATCCTTTTCTTTCCGGAAGGTCTGTTGATATGCCACACATCATCATAATCTGAGGAATATAAATTATTATTTAATTATATCCCTAAAGTTTAATTTGTTGAGATAAGAAATATTCATTGATGATACCAAGAAGAGGGATTTGACTATGGTACAAACACAAAAAAAAAGTCAATAAAATACCTCAAAATTTTACTATCTTAAAGGGTGTTTTTATAATTTTTGTGGGTTATTTTATAAACTAAAAAACTTATTACTTTTGTCAGTGTTTTTATTGTTGTTGTGAGTATTTTTATCATATTTGTTGTAACCATTTTTATTACTTTTATTTCATACAAAAAAAATTATGAAATTTGTAAGTATTTTACCATATTTATGAGTGTTTTTATTACATTTATGGATGATTTTACCATTGTTGTGGTAATTATTCTTACCATTTTTTTATGCATCACAACAATAGTAAAAGTATTCACAAATATGATAAAAACAACCACAAATGTGATAAATAAAAACATGATATCAAAAAAAAAAATATTCAGAACCATAGTCAAATACCCAAGAACAGATATGTAATTCAAATAGGTCTACAACACAGCAGATGGATTGGCCGAACTAATCAAAGCCAAGCTGACCTGACCTATCCAGATCCAGGTCAAGGTATAAAAAAGGTAGAAGAGGAATCAAGTCAGCGGCTACAGCTGCCGAGCTACTCTGTTTTCGCTAAAAAAAGATAGAAGAGGAATTAAACTACCACAAATCCTATCTTGGATGACTACACCATCATTACTTGTGGATCACACACACCACCCTAGTATATAAATACTCTGACCTTGCCAAGATAAAGAGAATTATATTCTTAAGAATATAACTATCTTTCCCAAGTAATACACATCCATGGAATAAAAGTCACGATTACAGTAAACTAGTCTAATTTTTCAACTTAGTAAACTACTTATTTCCCTGGGGTTTTACTTACTGCTACTTTGCTCTCCCCCCCCCCCCCCACCCCACCACACGCGCACACACACAACTCATCTATTAACACACGGGAGCTCACTCTCCCAGTTCATACTTCTCGATTTCATACACCATCATTCATAATTAACCGTTCCGATTGTGATTACATTTTTATGGGGATGTCTTAAAAGCAAAAAATGGAATTTTTAAAGCTCTTTTAATTATAAATGGAGCCCAATCAAAGAGAGAAAGAAAAAGAGACAGACAGAGTCTTAAACTGGTAGACATGAATCTGCCATATACCATTCCTTATAATAAGTACAAGTGCTACGTTGTATGATCCATGCTAAGCTAAGAAATAAATGAAAACTCATTACAATGATATTGAAAAGAGGGAAGAACAAAAAATGGAATTCCCAATAATTTACTCCGCTGCAGTGTCAGCTTGGTTGGTTCGTAGTAATGCTAAGTTTGCACGTTCGTGTTTTGCATCTCTTCCAACACTGCAAAATCAGGTTAATCCTTATGCTAGAGTTACCCTTTTGCCTTTTGCATCTCTTGACTGTAGACAAGTAACTTGAAAGTTAATAGCCACAATACGGTAAAGTAATAACAAAATTCGTCGTGTGTGTGTGTTTGTGTGAGAGAGAGAGAGAGAGAAGGGGGGAAAGACCTGTGCAGAAACGGATCTCTTTGATTCAAAGAACTGGCTGTAAATGTTGTATAATCGCTGCTTCTCAGCATCCGAAACTGATGGTCTTGCTTTAGAAGCAATAGATTTCAGGAGACTATCCGTGATGACGGGCATTTTCCCAGGCTTGCTGCCATCTTCACAGCTCAGAATGTCATGAACTGCAGCAAGCTGTGCATCTGATAGAAGAGCTTGAAGGTCAGCTCCACTAAATCCTTCGGTCATTCTAGCTATGGCATCCAGGTCTACATCACTGGCCAATGGTAACTGCACCAATCCCATGAATCAAGGGCAAAGACGAATTAGGCACATCGAAAAGTTCTATAACCAAAATGCAGCAAGAAAAAGATTAATGAATGATCCTTGTGTTTACCATGGGAAGTACTCAGAAGATTTAGTATTGGTCCTTAGTAGTTTATAGTGGATTCCCATTATTTTCATACAAGCCTTTCCAAATAGCTCCCAAATAACTACGGTTTCGGATAGTGCTGTACACTCCAAATACCCCCAATAACCTTTCCTCATGAATTTTAACCATGACCCACAAAACCATTATTTTTTATGAGTTTTTACAACTTTCCTCAAAGACTCAGTGTTTTACAACTTTGAAACAAATTATATAACTTATCAGGACGTTTAATTGATGAAGCCCAATGTAATTGATGATAATTCCCTCAAACCAGGTCATTTGGACTTCAAATATTTTTATTCAATATCTTGTAGGTAAATTAGGTTTTAAATATAAACTAGGGTGCATTTGATAAAGCTGAAAAATCAAGCACTCTGTACTGAATTAATGGACCCACAGATTTATGCTGCTTCTATAAACAAAAGTACTGATTTCTAATCTCACTGTGAATCGTATGGATTAATAAAAGAGAAGAATGAGAACAGTACAGTCACGACTCACGACATGTAAGTCAATTCTCAGAACATGAGCTTTTTCTAATCAATCTTTCATGGCAACACCCCACTCAGATTGTAGAACTGCTCAAAACACAACCACTTTAGAACGTAGACTCTGCCAAATACGAATTATCACACCATGGATTATAATCTTTATTTAAACAGGTATGGAGAAATTTTATTGATAGTAACTGAAAAGCTATTCAGTGATGAAAAGTTGCTCATGGTATCAACCACACACATATATCTAACACTCAGTTATATTGTTCAGACACCTGTTGAGGAAAATTGTCTTCAGAAAACTTCATATATATTTTATCAACAATTTTTTACATCCTTTTTCTGTTTATCAATATTTTTGTCATCCACTAAACATAAAAATCATCAAGGTTCACCATTTGATGTGCATGTTACTTTAATATGTTCATTACCTAGACTAGTTGAACAAATACCTAGCCTCATCCAATGATATAAATTTACCCTTGACATAGAAATGGCATTCTAAAAATTGGGCTGCACAAGAGTGGTAGCTTGGCCAATCTTAATACAAAGTTCGCATTGTGCAAAGTTAACTACCTATGTTTAAAGATGACTGCTATGCTCTTGCTAAAAGCTGGATGTAGGGCCAACTAGAAGAAACTCTATGCTCCAAAGGAATTTAGCAGTAGAAAACCAAAAATTCATTAGATGCTTTCCATTTCCAACATATTTTATTACAACTAAGCTTTCATAATCCGGCTAAGTTACATATATTACAAAAAACATCATTACCCATTTTCATAACCATTCAAAGGGAGCTGGGAGGGGAAGGCCAGCTAGAGAACACAAATTTGGTATCGTTGCATGACGTGATTACCCTCATATTTAAACCCACCATGTTCTACGCCTGAGCATATTACCACTGCAGTAGTGTAATAAATAATAACAAAATGAACAAGATGATCTTCACTACCTTTCTCCAACCACTGACCAAGTTTATTAGAACTGTATCATTCTAAACAGATGTATGCGCTAGGATTCTAAACACATAAGCAAGGATAGTAGCAAGACATGTCAAAAAAGAAAAATATTCAACCTGTGCGGCGGCACCCTTTGTGATCTCAAAAGTGTTCATATATCAGTATAACAAAATTAAGAACCTTAGAATACGATATTCCCACCTAAAAAAAGATTATTATCTAGGTCCCTGTTTCTGCCTTATTGAAGTAAATTATATAATATAATATAATATCTACTAGAAAATGGGATTTCATTGTGCTTTACACAAATGAATACAAACCTTTCTCGAAAGTATTGTAAGAATATCCAACCTCTCATGCCGTGGAGGGAAATCACAAAAAAGAAGGCGATCTAGCCTGCCAGGTCGCAACAGTGCAGCATCAAGTAAATCGGGTCTACTGCAATGGGGAAAAATGTGAGGGGTTAATTTTCATTCAAGACATAAAAATCAATAAAAAAACCTTGACCGTAAAAAGGCAAATGCTTTTAACTAAAAAATGAAGTAGAAATGAAAATAAGATTATATTATGACATTTGGAATAATAAGTAATCAGATTCTGCATAAGCACCAACAATCTAGTGAACGAAATCACTAACACGACACACACACACCAATCAGATAGCAAAGTTACAGATTGCTTATGGCATCTGTCTAGCTTTAAACCAGCTTTTCCTCTTGGATGTGCCACATAATAACATTTTGCAATTTGCTTGATTTAACTGAGTTCCTGCCAATACTTCTTGACGAGAAGAGTTCGCACAAAACCAGACTACCCAAGCCTTAATATACTGGGTTTGCGTCAGATGTTACCTAAACCTTGTGAGAGTAAAGCTAAAGGGCTCTAGCTAAGACCCTTAGATCCTTCTTCTTCTTCTGTGTGTTTTGTTTTCTATTAGCTATAATAGTACAATCATCGAAAAACTGCCGATTTCATCTTCAAACTCTACCTTACAAAGCTCTCTTGATCACTTACTTTCCCCTCTACATTCATTTCTAGTTAAACACTGAAAACTACTCGCTGTCTAGAAAAATTCCACATGCTTCGGATGAATTTCCTGCAACCATGCCAAGCCTGTTGTAAACCTTTACATCTAATTCTACAACCTTTCTTCTACTATATAAATACATAAACCTAGAAGCTTCCGTAAACAAAGTGCACTGTAAACATATTCCTAAGTATCTTTTAATATAATATAAATTTTGTATCATAGACTCATTGCTAAAATATCTTTAAATTTCTTCGTTATCAACTTTTTTAAAGTAACACTGTCTTCATAAATAACACGGTGGCAAATGCTGGATTAAATTTCAAATTTTCTGAAGTTGTCCATCATCATTTGCAAATTGGATGTAAGGAAACGTGGCATGTTATCTTCATTAGTGGATTTGCACCTAAATTATGCTCATGCAACTTTTCAATTCAATCAAATCAGACTTACTTTCCCAACAAATCTGTGTGGGGTCATTTCCTCTATTAAACCAAAAACTGTAATCTCTTTCTTTGTTATCTCATTCCATTCTAGTTTCAGCCATCTCCTTCCCCTGACACTGCAGTCAATGTATTAATGATACTTATGGTCATCACTATGTTCGACTAAGCTTAATAAAATGCACATGGCTATTTTTTCCCTCTCTCTTTTCCAAGAAGGTTCAAAATGTACCATTTAATATGCTTGAACTCCCTAAGCTAGGATTTTTTAATGGACCTGGATACCACTTGAGCAGAAATTATGTGCACATCGCTTAAATAGGCTACTTTTGCTTGATATAGGCAGGTAATTTCACCAACAGTAAACAAAAGCAAAAATGAGAAACCACTTTGGATAGTAGGAAGAAATAAGTTTTCATTTGAAGGGCATGCAACTTCCTGACATGAGCCGTGTAGCCTGGATTCTTGTTACTATGCGACTCATTCTTGCAGGTATTACTTGCATTATCAATAATCATTACCCAAAAACCTTGTTTATGCAATGAAACAAACAATCCTAACCTTAAATGGCATTTGTGAACTCGGCAACCCTGTTCCTTCGGGAAAAAAGGTGCCTCCTCACAAAGGTGTTCACAACGACCAAGCCCGAATGACTGGTTATCAAAAGCACGAGTCCACAAAGTCATAGTATCATGTATGGTGGGTTGATGCTTTGATGCTGGGTGGAACGAGGAGAAGAAGAAAGAATAAATAAGAGATACTATACCCTCGCAAAGATTAGTTCAAGAAAGCACACAAATTCTCCACAGAGAATAAAGTTGACTAATATCACTCTCTCGAATGAAAATAGTAGGAATCACATCAATATTTATAGGCCAAGTCTCTTACCAAAATTAAAATTACTCTCCTACTAAAATTCTACAATATTTCCTAAACAAGCCCCTCACAACTAAAAACTACTAAGACACTCTTACTCAAACAAATATTCCTTAATTATTATAATAATACTAATATAAATAATAAATTTAATTATTCAATTTAAGTTTATACAATACCTTTTCGATCCCTATCACGTCTACCCAATGCCGGAAGGTCAAGCAAATTGATGACATGATGATAGGAAATAGGTGACAGAAGCCCCAATGAATGGCATTTCCTCACCGGCATATTTTGATTTCACATTTTTGTGAAATATATACGTGCCTCCTTATACAAAGAGTTATCTATTGGAACAATGCTCTTACTGATCTATTAAAAAGAAGTAGATCTATGCGAGGAGAATGAATAATGTGTTCGGAGAAATTTGTACAAGAAGTCGTGGATACACTCCTTGATAATGGAATTTGTGAACAACCAATGAGGGCCAGTCATAATAAAGTTTTCAAGTCATTTTTAGATATTTAAAGCAAGAGGGAAGATTTGGTGAACTAGATCATGAATGTTTGGAATCCGTTGGCAGTCATATTGCTTTGCTAATTCGAATTGAAGGGTGTGATAGAAAATTGGTCTATTTTCGACATCATATCTATAATTAGCACATTCATCATAATTAACACTCTCAGCACCGTACCAGGGTCACGATCGATATCGTCCCCGGCATAAATATTAGAAACCTCGTTTATGCCATGCATAAATATTAGAAACCTCGTTTATGCCATGAAACTATCCTAACCTTATACACCTATTCAACAGTTAACCTTATTTATGGACAAATAAAGTTTCCTAACTACACATTGCTAACACTTGCATTATCAAGAATCAAAACAAGATTAGATAATTAGCTAAGAGGTCCTAAAAAACCACAAAAAATATTCAATAAGGAAAAAAAAAAACCACCAAAGAGGGGCTCACCTGGTGGCAGCAAAAACAAATACACCAGTCAAGACTTCCACACCATCTAGTTCAGTCAAAAACTGGAAAAAGCCACATAAAATAACTGAGAACATTATATGCAAAAATAACGCTCAGGAAATGTGAGATAGAAGGATTGAACAATAGACTGACTTGATTAACAACTCGATCTGTCACTCCAGTATTGTCGTGCCCCCTTTTCGGTGCAATGGAATCAAATTCATCGAAAAATAGAAGGCATGGTGCCGCAGCGGCTGCTTTGGAGAATATGTCCCTCACCTGAAACCATGAATACATCCAAATTATTTAGAAAAATATACAGTCAGTTCTACAAGTTGATAGGGATCGAAAAGTAATAAAACGAGGCTTTAAAGTGAAGATTAGGATTTAAGGGATTTACATTATTACAATTTTATAAATTAGGTGCACTTTTCAATTTAGGAATTTCCTATTATTCTTATGCTTTATTTTTGGGAACTGTTTATTAGGGTTTTAAGGATTTCCTATAATAGGATTTTTGTCTAATGTGTAATCAAGACTGAAATAATTGAAGGAAATATTGAATTGCCTTGGCACTGTTCCAATTTTGGTTTCTTTTGGGGCAACGTATTCTTTTATTTCTGATCTTGTGTTAAATGTTCTCATTCTTCCAAAAAAAAAAAAAATTTGATTTTCTCATTCAAAAATTATCTAACTTAAATCATTCTGAATCTCTGGGCTAATTACCCCATACTCCTATCTGATTTTTGACCGAATATGGCAATATTTATTCAAATATACATGACTTGAATGAATTGCGTTTGAAAAAGGAAAGTTCATGAAATAACCTATAAAATTAAATTTTCCAAGAGGCTAAACTAATTAAAAAATCTTATTTAAGCCAAAGTCCTCCACAATGGAATCCACCCAAAAAAATAAGGAAAAACTCTGGCTTCATTTTTATCATTGCAAAAGCAATAGAATGTCAGTGCTTACGACCACATTTACCCATGACAAGCATAAATTCTTCATTGACACTTGGAAAAAAGAGGAGTTAAACTATATGTTGCCATCTTCATAGAGAGCCACCAGTGGTGAACCCATGCAATACCCGAAGAACAGGACTCATGATTAGTTTGAAAAGTAATCAACAAATAGATACGCAACTAAATTTAGCCTATGTTAGGGGGGCAATTGACAACAGTGGAGTGAGCAATGACTTCAATAGCATTGGTCAATAGATTTAACCTATCACAATGGTAGAACGTGAGTACCAAATAGAGAATACCTTAACTCACGGTGAGAGGAAAGGAATGCAAATTATAACGGAAAATAATATCAAAGATGAATTCTTGCCCTTACATAATTTCTAAATTGAACAAAGTCAAATAGTACACCAAATGCTTTGTCTATGACTAAAGAATAAGATAACCCAAAATTTGTTGCAACAGACTAAGATAATCTCTACAACATGAACCTTGCATGAGTTTATATCATCAAAAGGACAAAGAAAAATTATTATAGGATATGTTTCTCTCTTACAGCTTGCTCAGAAGCACCAATATATTTGTTCAGCAGCTCAGGGCCTTTCACCGAAATAAACCGCAGTGAGCAGGCAGCAGCAGCAGCACCAACAATATGTGTTTTTCCACAACCAGGAGGGCCATATAAAAGAACATTCGACCGCATTCTTAAAGGAGCTTGTGCAAAGATATTTGGAAACTTTGAAGGCAGCTCAATCATCTAACATGGAAACATAACATATCACAGCCCAAATATGTCAAACAGGATTTATCACTCACCATCATTAATAACATGTAATTCATCTGTACAGCGGTTTCAGGGATATACAAGTAACAATAAGATCTGTACACAGTTGACACAAAAAGATAAACCTCTTTGATAGCATTCCGGATGTCACTAAGACCACCAATGTCTTCCCAACCACTGCGTCCACCTTCAGGTGGTTTAGTGATGTCACGCATGGCAACTGGAAGGAACTCTTGCATTGCTTGCAAAAAATCATCCATTACTAAAGTAGGCCTCTCATGTTCTCCGGAAGCCAAATCGCCCGATAAAAAGCGACCGATGGCAGCATGAACAGACCTATCAACCAATATTTCCTGAAACAGTTTAATTTTTTTCTAGTTATTTCTCTTTCAGCAACAAATAAAGTCATTAGATAGAGAAATGGGATGGAGACAGTTCCTATCTTAAAGAGAGAATTACTGATGCAAAACTTATTCAAGATAATATCTATCTAATATTACAGCTAAAAGTTGAATTCTAAACTTCAAAGCACAACAGTCAAGATTGATCCAATCTTCATCTACTTTGATCCAATAATACAAAATTCATCCCAAAAAAAATTTCCTGCCAAAAAAAATCAGCTTCTTTGCCAAACAACTCAATCAACACATTCCCCAATGTCAAACAATCTCATAAATCCACACCTACCTCTCTCTTCATTTTAATTTTAAATTGTGTAATTAAAAAACTAAATTATTATTTAAAATACAAAAATTACAAGATCAATTTGATTTTTAATATTTTATAGTGTCTTCAGACATTGAATTATTGCTAGTATACTAGACAAGAGAGAATGAAAATAACTCATCAGTTCAGAAGTGCTAAAACTAAAGTAGAGAGATAAAAATATTAGTGCAATTCCAGAAAATAGCTCATCAGTTCAGCAGTGCTAAAACTAGAGTAGAGAAATAAAAATATTAGTGCAATTCCATATTGTGAATTTAATTAATGCAGGGGCAAAAAAATTGTTTTGCTAAACTTGACATGTGGATAGATTCAACAAATAAAAAGATAATGCAGTTAATAGATTCTAATAGCCTCCAAGCAAAAAGAAGTAATATTTACAGTAGTTCAATTGCAATCATGAAACCTTTGAAGTGCAATCGAGAATCATTCTTCTGGAGGAGCAAAATATAATTGAGACAAGCATGTACACCAACATAAGCATGCGTGCTTGACCAACATTATCCACCATTTGAGGATATCATGAATCAGCTTCTCATAAGAAAGATTAGCAACATCTGCCTCATCATCTGTGACTGTTTTCAGAAAAAGCTAAACGGATGACATTCTAGGCTTTCTAGCCCATAATTCATTAAGCTGCTTTTGCCTTTAACTTGAATTGAAATTGGACCGAGTTTTCCTAAAGGACATTCTACCACCATGGAAAGTCAACCAAAGCTTTTACCAAGAGTGTAGGACGTTTTCCACTTATTTGGATTTGAAAAGGCAGAGTCCAGGTTTCTAGAATAAGAATAGGAGCAGAAAGCATGCTTCAACGTCCACAGTGATGGATAAAGTGGCACAGAAAACAGATAATGAAACCATGGAATAAATATATGGATGAAAAAAAAAAGAGCAACTAAAACTATGATAACTAAAATTTTAATAAAATGATAAATTTCCAATCAAAAGCTAAAGTAAAGTCTGGCATGAATTAGGTACCAGATCATATGCATCATATCCATCACACTTGGAAGCAATATCTAACAAGATATCATCAGAGCATTGCAAGGAACGCTTCTGGATTTCATGTTTCAGTAGAGCGCCACGTTCTGCAGCAGCAGGAGCTGGCAGTTGCACATGAAAGTCAAACCTTCCTGAGGTGAAATCAAAATTATCAATTACATAGCTAAATTTTTGAAAAGGGAAACAATAGATAAACCTAGCACTGCTGTTTTCAATGTTTGCCACCACCTAGTCTATGGAGGACTTCTACAAGCAAATGACTAACCAGAAGAGCTCAAGGCCTGTGGTATATTAGTGAGGGACTGAGCAGTAGCTATGAATGCAATGGGACCAACTCCGCATGAGCTCCTTCGCTTCTCCTGTTGAATGTAAACTTGAAACTTGAAAAGGTATTAATTAAAAGCATAGAAGCTGAAGTAGAAACAGCATAGCCACTTTAAATAAACTTTTGTAAACACGGCTAAAGGCAAAATGTCAGTTCCTTGGTGTTCCCGATTGAAAGAATATCCACGTGGTTAAGTTTATACCCAGTCCATCCAATCAGACTAGGTAAGGACCTTTTTTATATGGCAGAACCACTTGAAAAGTATCTACATTTTAGGCTTGTACCTGTCTCCTTGAGTTTTAATCCGGACACGGCACCACAAATCACGAAAATCTTAAGTCACGGTTCATTATTCACTAAATGCAAGCATAGCATTAGTACTAACAAGACAGTAGGACCGCAGAACATTATGGTTCATTTTATGCTTTCTCCCATCTCAATTGAAAACGAAAATGCTCTTAGTCATTTCCATTAAGAGTAGACGGGTGATGTAAAGACCAAAATAAATGCTGAGAATATAACTGCAGAAAAGTTCGCAGTGAAGCATTGTAAATATGATAGATTATTATTTATTTGCTAAACATCAAAATGTAATGTTGATTAACCATTGTGTGGATAAGAGACATGGAACTGAAACAAAAGAAGTACACATCATAGAGATATACAAGATCAACCATTAAGGGTCACAAATTGTCAACAACACAGTTCATGAGGGAGGCACAGAGAGAGCAGATGTTAGATGATTCAGAATCACTTCATAGACCTCTTGTCAAGTGAAGGATATGACCTTTTGCACTTTGCTATTTGGTGCAATGTGAACTAAAAAGTATATAAAGCAAAAAGCTCATACTCAAATTAAAAGCGAAGATCTGCCAGGAAACATGGATACTTATACCAGCCTAATTCCAAGGCAAGCAAGAATATGTGGGATCCCTGGTCTTCTCTTAATTTAAGGTTCTAGTCTTGGTTATACTTAAGGAAACTCTTATCCCAGGGAACCAAATTCTTACTAATCATATTATATGGAAATTCTTATTCCCACAGAGCCCATTTATTTCAAACAGCTATGTTCCATAGCTGATAGGACAACACTTACAAGATTCATGAGCATGAAAATAAGCATAACTCATATCAGCAATTGAAAGCTACAAATTATCGAAACGGTCACGCCATCAACGTAAATTCTTTACTTTTGAGGCATGGACCTTGTGAAGGCATGGCTAGATGGATTTTGAGTATTTATGCACAGTGGATTTAGATTGAGTTTGATAGCCGCATTTCTATTAGCATGATTAAAATCATAGCTCGGCACTTGCAGAAAATATCACATGTAATCAAAATGGCAGCATCTGAAGACCACATTCCCATGGACATAGAACTTTTTTCCTTTTATTCTTTTTTGATTAGGATGGACAAAGATATAATAACAAGGTAAATACTACTAAATCGGGGCAGGACATGGCAATAGACAAAATATAGGAAGATACACATAAAACAGATGCACAAACTTACAAGCACATATGTAAGAACACAAACATGATAATGTATATGAGTGCACATAGATGTACATATATATGATGTCATGAACATGATCATTTTTCTTCCCATCTCGTCCATTTATTAAAAGTTTTATGGTACCTAAATTCCTTATTTTTTAAAGTGGTCAAAAAATTTCCAAAACAAATTCTATAAAATATTTCTTTTTAAGTCATTCACGTTTACCTAGCTGGAAAACAATATAAAAAATTACCCAACATTCAATGTATGCCATTCTGAGAAATACCCGAGTTATTTTGTCAAATTGAATATTATGCAGATGATTTATGCACCTCTTAGGTTTTTCATGAAACACTTGTTTTAATATATTTGTGCACCTCGGTCGAACGCTGATATAAGGGGGCAATTCTTTGTCTCTTTTCATATTTTCTTTATCCATTTATCTTTTTTTTTTTTTTAAATTATTTGTCCGGTGAATTCTACACGGCCATTTTAGTTACAAATCCGATCCCAAACTTAAATTCGTATTTTCAGCAACCTTAACCCCAACCCTTACTATAGTTTCTTAGAACACCACATTTTCCATGTAGTCTAGTAATAATTTGGTGTTCGGTGATCAAGAATAAGTGCGTGTAGTTAGGGGTTCGGATGCCGGACAGTTGGATTAAGAATAAATAGTCGAAAGCAATGTTATCAGAACTGGACCAGTCATCAAACCGACAAAGGGACCGGGTCAATAGTTCACTGGTTGGACTAGTCATAAAATTAACACCATAAACACCTAATCCTATAAAAAAAAAGGTAACTAAAATCTTGATAATGTTCATATACCAGGCTTAGCTAAGCCTTTTTGCCTTGTCGAGGCAATGATGCTATTTCTCTAAATTTAAAATCAATCACAAAAAAGAAAATGAAAGTGTTCAATGTGTGTTGTGTGTGTTCAGTTCTGTGTTGTGTGTGTGTGAGAAAAATAGAGAAAGAGAAAGAGAGAGAGAGAAAAAAAATAGAAGAGAAGACTTACTGGCAGAAGGAAAGAGAAGGGATAAAGATCGAATGGCTGGCTCGATTGCCTAAATGGAGTCTATTGTTGTTGTGTTGTAGTGCTGTTGTGCGTTAGGAGAAGAGACAAAAAAAGATCTCAATTTAGGAAAAAATTGCCCTAAAAAATTGATTTTAATTTTTGTCAATCCCTTAAAATTTGAACTGCCCGATTCAAACAACCCATCCGATAAAACCGTCTGGTTTAGAGGTTTAAATCTGGTTTGATTCTCCATACAATTTAACTCAAGAACCGGACAACTTAGGGCCGGATTCATTGTCCAATCGGTTCAATCTGTCGGTCTGGTTCAGTTCTGATAATACTAGCGGAAAGTGTGTGCGCAAGTGTTCTGGTGATGATTGGAATGTTAAAAAAGGGTAGGAGCATAACTGGTGAAGAGAGAACGAGTCGAGATGTTCACTCGAGTAAGTTAGGGTTAGTGCATTCCTGGTGATCAAGGGTGCGGGAACTTCGTTAGCAGGACAAATTGGAGGTCAATTTGATGTTCAAAAATTTAATTAATAATTTCCTAGTGTTTGATTTAATGTGTGTGTACTTTAAAATTAATTAAATATATATATATATATATATATAATATATATATATTTGGTCAAAATGGGTGAAATTATTAAAATACCCTTGGAAGCATCTCCACCTTCTAGCATGGCAAGTTGCCAATTGGAAGCTCTCCAAGGCATGCAGTCTTCCACCGTGCTACTTGGAGGGTCAGTCAACACTAGTGGAGGATTAAGAGCCTAGGAAAATCGTGGGAAGAGAGAGAGAGAGAAAAATATATTTGAAATTTCAAGTTTTCTAGAGAGGCATCTTCGAACATTCAAAGGTATATTATTGCTTAATTAGGATACTAGAAGTTCGTTGGTGTTGTTAGATTTTGATTTGGCTAAGCGGTTATGCTTGAATTTTTGTTTTTGAATTTCGGATGGAAGAGTTTGACAAAACAGGTTTAAGGATTAGGGAAGTATTGGTCTATTTGGTTGATGGGTTTGAGCTGTTGCGTGTTCAAGTAGCCTTTTGGTGGTGGTTTGCTAGCTAGCCATGGTCTATGGTGGTGTGGAGGTGAAGGTGAAGCTTTGGCCACGGAGGTTTTTGATCTCCATGGTTTTTGGTGTTTTGAGCTTCAAAGGAGGGTTATATCTAGCTAAAATGAACCTTAAGAATCCATTGATGGCTTCAAAAATAGATTTAGAGGTCATTTTGAGGGTAAAAATGGGAGTTGCATGTCTGGTCATGTGTTGAAATCCTTATTTTTCTTGGACTTTGACTAATTTTTAGATGGGTTTAAGCTTAATTCAAAGCTTGGACCTATGGGGATCTAAAAAGAGTCATGCGGTGACTGTGTGAGTTCTAAAAATAGAGCAATTGGTGTACACTGGAATGAGAAATAAAGGAAAGAAGTATGGTTGAACTTGAAGAAAGGGACCTAGGGTTTTGGTCAAAGTGGCCAAAGGAAGAAAATTAAGTGGGGGATGGACACCAGTGGACCCCGACGGCGCGTAAGGGCGCATCATCAGGTGTCCGATAGGGTTCTGGTAAATAGCAAAAGTTATGTAACGTCCGTGCAAAAGTCCTAATAAATTTGAGGTCAATTCGATACCAGAATCAATATGTGGTGTAAAATGTCTATTTTGCCTTTTGGCATCAATTTGATCCAATTTTTGGATATTTTTGTCAAATAAATTTTGTACCCACTTTTAATTAGTTAAATTGAATATTTGTATGAAATTTCATTGAAAAATAACACTATTTTATTTTTGATCATTTCAGATCCAGATACTGAATTAAGTAGGGTTTCTCAATTCTAGATTAGGCGATACTTTTCAAAATTTGTTTTGAAATTATTCCTTAGATTTATTTATGACTGTTTAGCACGTTTTGAAATAAATGATTAGAAATTTGAACAATGGCTTGGAATCCAAACCTAGATTAAGGTTTTGAGAAGAGTTACACACAACTGCTTGAAATAGCCGTATGGTTTGTATTGATTGAAACACCGGGATACGTTTGCATGAAATGTTGGTGCACACCGGTCGAGTGGCAAAGGGTTTACGGTCCATGAGGCCTTAGAGGGTTTCTCATTGAGTTCGTAAATGCTTGGATGGCCTAGTTTGTCTTCGGACTTAAGTATTAAACTTTGAATAAGGAGGCAAAGGATTTACGTTCCTTGAGACCGTAGAGGGTTTCTTATTGAGTTCGTAAATGCCTGGATGGCCTAGTTTGTCTTCTGACTTGGGTACTGAACTTTGAATAGGGAGTGTATCTTCCTCTGAGTAAAAGTCCCCGAAAAAGTTGGGTCATATGTTCATATTGACCTTGGTCTATTAGTTGATTGCCCACCTAGCACTATTGATGATTCTAAACTCTCTTTTATTATATCGTTTTGCTTAAATGCTATTGTTTTACATGAAATGACGTGGTTTCTCATATATACATATCAAATGCTCGTTTTACTTTTGCCCAATTATGTTAAACTATGTATTTTCAAACATGTTTGCTTGAAAATTAGTTACTCTATTAAGTTGTTGATGTTTACCCTAAGTTGTTCCCTTTTCAGATATGTGAAAGCAAAGGCTTATACATAGTGTACTGTCAAATGTTTTTATACAATTAAAAGATGCAATCAGTGCATGTATTTAGAATAGATGTAACTCTCATGCTAGTGGGTTGTATCTACGTAACAAGACATGTAGTAGTTTGACTATAATTCATGTACC